ATTCTTTTTCTTCCAAGTCATAGCTGGTGTAAACTAAGATTTTTGTGATTAATTCAATATAGGGTAAAATAGTGTTCTTGTTTTTGCTATCCAACATGTGATAAAGCATAACATCTAACCAAATTTTCTCAAATTAATTTTCCAAAAACCAAACTACAAGAACATCCAATTTTCATATGGTGCTAAAATTGGTTTTCCTTGGAAAAAGAACATGATTCATTAAATAGTGAATCAACCTACTATCTGATAGGGGTGTTCAAAACCGAACCACCCCAATTGAAACCCGTAAATCGAAACAAACCAAATCGAAAATCGCAAAAAAAAAAAAAAAAAAACACATTTAATTTGGATGTGTTTGGGTCATATTTTAACAAAACTCCGCCATTTGGTTCGATTTGAAGTTTGTATTTTGCAAACCGAACCAAATCGAATCAAACTGCATTATGTTACAACTCAAATTTCATTTAACTCACATTCAACTCAAACCCAAATCTATTATTCCTTAGCCTTACAATTATGAACGATTTTCTCTTCCTCACACTTAGAATTTCAGTTTTAGCCCTCTCAAACCTCTTATAACAATATATCACCTTATTTTTCAAATAAATCTTGCTTCATCTTCTCTAATCCCTACACCCTTCTATTTTTTCTTTTACACCTTCTCATTTTTATGCTACTGTTCTCTCTTTCAATTTCATTTTTGTCGCACCTCTTTTCTCTAACCTCTCATCTCTTTTGTTATTTCTTTTTCATCTTCACTAATCTCTCATCTCCTATATTTTTTGGTTTCATTATAATGTTTTTGATATTGTTTTACGCTATTGTTTTATGTTTATTATTTCACTTTTGTCTAATATGATTTTTACATATGAGAAGTTGTGGTCTAAATATAATGAGTTTTATTGTTACTTGATAGTGTATGAATGACTAAATACAAAGTTAAGTTGTCCTCTATATGTGTATGCATGATTCAATAAATTTTTTGAAAAAAACCGAACCAACCAAACAGAATCAAACCACATTGATTTGGTTGGTTAGTTTGGTTTTTTCTCTTGTAGTTCGGGTGATTTTTTTGCGTCAAAACCGCTCAAACTACACCACGAACACCCTTACTATTTGAGTGTATAAGACCGACATTGAATGGAGATGGACTTCCAGAAGATGGATCAATTAGAATGGTGTGAGCATAAAAGTCAAAGTTAAATTCATTATCTACATAGTTTTTTCATCAGTCTTGTTAGATGAAGAGTAATTTGCAAGCTTGTGCAAAATCTTCGAGAGATATAAAGATGGAATGCTTCTTGACTTTGAAACCAATAACACCATTTTGGTAGGTGAGTTTTCATATAAAATTCTTACAAATTTGGAATACCTCTCTTAGATTTTTTAAAGAGGAAGTTTCTTAGACCAACAAAGTCAAAGACTTCCATATAGAAGCAAACTTTGAATTGTTCTTCATCCAAGTAATAAGAGACTTACGCTTCTCTATCAGCATAGTATCGAGTGAAGTTGTTCTCTTGCTCTTGAGTGAAGAAATCTTCGAAGAAGTAGGATGGTGATAATTGAGAGGTCGGGTTCTTTTTTGTACCATTTGAGGTGATTATGGATGATTGAAAGAACTAAAATATTTCTAATGCAATGCACAAGAGAATGTAACATAAGTAAGAATAGAAGGTTATCTCTACTTATAGCCATTGTTCAATTGATAGGATGAACGTGCCAATCAATTGAAAGCTTCAATTTTTAATAATTAATTGTTGGAAATAGTTGTTGCATCTATTTCTGAGCTGACAAACCGTTACAAATAGTTATTGCATTTAGTTTGTTACATATAGTTGTAACTAACTTTATATACACTTAGCTATTAAGAATTTTATTTTTACATTGTTTAAACTTCAACAACTTCTTCTTTTCTTTCTTCTTAGACCTTCTAATAATAGTACTCCTTTAACTTTACATACACTCAGCTATTCCAAAGAATTTCATTTTACAATGTTTAAGCTTCAATAATTTCTTATTCTCTTCTTTCTTCTTGATACTCGTTCTGCTCTATATACTCTTTTGAACATTTTATTGTTCCATCTTATTTATATCATTTGTCATTAAAAAACATAAACTAATAATATAATGTTTTGTAACATTAGTCGCGGGAAGAGAAATGTAATAAGGTAACTAGACACAGGTTTATCAATTTATAGATATTTTGACAAATAGGAGTCTCTAGACTTCTGTTTGAATTTTCTACATGTTAGTCCTAGATGTTTCTAGCAGTGGGGAGTCAGGGGTGGCAACGTAAGCTCATAGCCACTCTATTATTCTTTTTTAAAGAAATACATATATAAATATTATATATTGAAAAATATATTTATTAAATTTACATATAACTGATATATTAAAAATATTAATAAATTAAAATGTACTTTCAATTCTAATTAGATGTCACGTCTCACACAATATATATAGATATACAATACACTTACACTCAACTATTTTACTTTAAATTTATATTTCACTCTATAAACTACCACTTCACTTCACATATAAAAACTTAATTAATTATTATCATCATTCTTAACTATTACTAAATTAATTATTTAATTTATTATTAATATTCTTAATTAATTTATATTATTATTTTAAATAAAATTATTAGAAATAATAATAATAATTGTGTATTATATTTAAAATACATCTCAATGATTATTTATAAAATTAACATTAGTCTCAAATTCGTCTAAATATTTAACAAAGATTTGAGACATAATTTTCATAAAAACAAATAAAATAAATAATTATTTTGTGAATTATCATTTTAAGAATTCTTCGTAATTTTGTCTTAAATTTGATTTAATATTTTACATAAATTTAAAACGAAATATAAAAAATAATAAAATAAACAACAATTTTAAATTATATCTAAAATTCATCTCAAAATCTATATACACAATGAGATTCTTTCTAAAATCCGTCTTGGTATTTTACACAAATTTGAGATCGAGTTTCCAAAAAAAAAATTAACAATTATGTATTTATTTTTAAAATCTATCTTAAAAGTCTTTATAATTGAAATTTGTCTCAAACCTGTCTCAATATATCACATGAATTTAGAATAAAATTTATAAAATATAGTAAAAAAACAACAATTATATAATTAGTCTCAATTCCGTCTCAAAATCTCTACATGATTTCATTTAAGACGAATTTTATTTTATTCGAAATTTCTATTTAAAAATGTCAACATTTTAATAGTGTCACAACTACATCTAATACATTCATTACCGTATACGCTTATATTAATCTTCATCATATCTCTATATTTTATATTTGAAGTCTCGTTGTCCTATATATTTAGTAAGTTTTATTTAATTTTTTTGATGTATTTTTAATTTCAAAATTCTATTCGAATATTAAAATTATACATTCTATAATTTTAAAATATTTATTTTAGTGTTAAAATTATATATTTTTATTCTTGAGAATTGTTATCTTAATAAATTGTTTAACAATAAATAAAAAGATAATGTTTTTATCACGATTGTTGCGAATATACAATTATATTTTGTTAATATTTTATTAAATTTAATTAAAATTTAAATATTTTATATATTAATCTTTTATAATTATTTATGATTTTTAATTTATTTTAGCAGTTTTGATCCGACTCTGCCACTAATTTCTAAAATATAAATTAGTCGATTTAAAATATGTGACAATTTTCGACTAATCCAAATGTCTCTAATAGGTAGTCATGTATTTTTACTAAAAATAGTGCGGTGGAGAAAAAAAAAACCCTTGAAAATGTTTCACACATAGAAAGTCTTCAGAAAATTAGAAGTTTAGAACACAGAATATAATCCACCGCAAAAGAAAAAGATGGCATATTTAATTAAATTAATCATTAATCATCACACTAATTAATTAATTAATTAACATGACAGAAGAGTCACAAGCAAAGAATCATACGACCGCACCCAACTAGCTAGCCAACAATCCAAAAGATGGTACATGAATGGTGGTGACTTTATATATTTAATTAAAAAAATCAAAAGAAAATTATCCTAAATTTCATTAAAAATTATAAAATGATCATTTAACAATTATTTTATATGAAACATTTAATATGAAAGCTTTACATCCAATCAAAATGATTCGTTCTAAATAGCAAGTAAGAATTATCTCATCTTTGAGTTGATCTTGTCGCCTAAAACAAAAGCAAACAGCCACGAATAAAAAATAATGTCATTGGATGTTGAAAGCAAGCACACATGGAGTGAAACAATTGTCTATATAATGTTAACTATATTCAGGATTTATGTTTAATGAAATAGTTTAAAAAAATTATCCTGAAAAAAAGCTTGAAAAATGGTCAAACATCAAAGTCAAGATGTGTTTGTATATAGTGCATAATAATTGACAATTGTAATGAGAAATTTGGAAACAGTTTTCTGTACCATATGTAGTAATAGTTTATGCATCTGTCTTTTTCGTAACTCCCATGTCATTATTTATTGTCGGGAGGTGAGCAACGGCGTGCAACCCACCTTCTTTCCCGCACATAATCCTACCCCACTATACAACAAAATACACATCAACTAAACCCTAATAAGCATATTCTCACTCACAATTTCAATATTATCACCTTCTTCTCCCTATACCTACCTTCTTTCTTCACTCAATAACCCTTCACCTCTTCCGATCACTCACTATTCAACTTCATCTTCTTCATATATATATATATAGCTTTTTTTGTTCTTATTATGAATCTCTTCATAACAAACTAGATAGTTATGATTATAAATATTTTATTTTATCTCTAGATCTAGTGATCAACTTAGTCGATCCATCCAGATACATGCGATGAGTCTTTGAAATCTAACTCACCTAAACTTTGTGATATAAAAAAAAAAAGTTACATATAGTTTTTTTTTTGGTTGTTTGCCTTGTTAGAAATAAATTAGGTTTGAGATTTTCTGTGACCGGTTCAGTTCAGGTGAAGTGTGATGGCGAACCGGTGGTGGACTGGACCGGTGGGTTTAGGCGGTATGGATAACTCGGTGAACTCATCACCACTAGTACCAAAACCGGATCTGGGTTTTTCCATGAACGAAAGTGCAGTAACAGGAGTGAACAACATCAACAATAATGAAGAAGATGAGAGAGAAAACAGTGATGAACAAAAAGGAGGAGGTATAGAAACAAACAACTCCACGCGCCGTCCACGAGGGCGTCCTTCAGGGTCGAAAAACAAGCCGAAGCCGCCGATATTCATAACAAGAGACAGCCCTAACGCGCTGCGAAGCCATGTTATGGAAGTGGCATCAGGAACTGATATAGCTGATAGTGTTGTTCAGTTCGCTAGAAAACGACAGAGAGGTATTTGCATTCTAAGCGCAAGTGGAACGGTTGTTAATGTTTCTCTCCGGCAGCCTACAGGTCCTGGAGCTGTGGTGGCCCTTCCGGGGAGATTTGATATTCTCTCGTTGACTGGTTCGGTGCTTCCTGGACCTTCACCGCCTGGCGCTACTGGTTTGACTATTTATCTTTCTGGAGGGCAGGGACAGGTGGTGGGTGGTGGAGTGGTTGGACCGCTTGTGGCGGCAGGGCCGGTTATGTTGATGGCTGCGACTTTCTCGAATGCAACTTATGAGAGGTTGCCTGTGGAGGATGGTGATGATCAGGAAGGGCAGCAGGGTGGTGGTGATGAGTCTCCCCCGCCTGGGATGGGACAGTTGGCAGGTGGATCAGTCGGAGAAGGTTCGTCGTCGATTCCAGTTTATAATAATGTTGGTGGAAATTTGGGTGTTTCAAATGGGCAACAGATGTTGAATAATCATGAAGCTTATAATTCTCCTTGGGGTCATGGTGGTAGACCACCTTACTAATTAACAAAGGTGAATCATATTATGAAGTTTAATTAATTTCACTTCTCTTATGTATTGAAACTTTTTGGTTTTTATGTTTCATTAGATTATCTCACAGACTAAATTGAATTTCATTATCATTATCTTCATTCATGTATATTTATTTTACTCTTGTTGCCTGCTATGTTACACCATCTATAAAACTAGTTTTGTGGTAGATTAAAAGACAAATTAAACCATAAAACTAATTATAGAGAGTTTCAGCTCACTTGCTAGTTACTACTCATCTCATCTATAATTAATAAGTTACCATTTCTTAAAATTGTTTATTCTGTTAATGCCAAGGAGGATATATAAATAAAAGAGTATGGATACTTAAAGCAACCCAAAATTTTTACAAGAAAACTGAACAAGCCAGACTAAACACAGCCAAGAAACTGACCAATGAAACACTAGTCAAAAGAAGATGCAAGACATCCTAGTCTTTTAAGGAATCACTTACTGGAAGAGAATTGAACACAAACTATCACTTTTCATATTTTATATGTTAGTTAGATATGTAATCAATCTTTTATTATAATTGAGATAAAGTTAGTATAATCTATTTATGTTTTATTATATATTATTTTTATAATCTTTATTTTTATAACTTATGATATTAACATATATTAAAATTTTAGTCTTCTTCTTTCCAACTTTGTTATATTTTTAGTTAACATGATATTTAGAGTTGGTTTCGATTCTCCTTGAGTTATTTGCCGCTTCCGTATTTGACTTCTCAAAATCAAAAGTTTGAGAATGTGTTTCTTTTAATTTTTTTTAATAATTAGTTCTATTGAAAAAAATATCCTTTGGTTGAATCGTTCAATTATTTTTGGCATGTTGTGTTCTACTTTGTGTGCTTGAAGTTCAAGATTGAGTCATATATGATTTCAGTTGATTATCTCACATTTGGTTCTAGTATTGGTAGTGTATATCATTTGTTTGCATTTCTCTTGTTTGTGATTTGTATTTATGGTTGGTTTAGATTGGTTTGATTATGTTTGATTTGACTAGATTTTATTAGAATTTGTTTAGTCGACTTGATTTGGTTCAAATTAATTTAATTTAGTTTGGATTGATTCGGTTTGGTTCCTTTTGATTCGGTTGGATATAGTTTATTTGATTTGGTTTGATTGAATTTAGTTTCACTTCGATTAGTTTTAATATAATTGATGTGATCTAATTTTGTTTGATTTGATTTGATTTGGTTTAGTTTAGTTATTTGTAATTCTTATGTCTGATGGTTTTTTTTAGATGTTTATTCTTTCTTTCTTGGTTTTTCTCTCCAATTTTTTTAGTTTGTTCCCCTCTCTTTGGTTGTTCTTCTATATGATTATTTCTCTTATTGATTGTTCTCTCTATTAGTTAGGATATTAGTTTGTTTTTTTTAATTTTTTATTTTCAAAATTAATTTATAATAAGCTTAATTTAACAAACTTTAGCTTGAAGAGTTGTGTGAGAATTTTAAAGTTATATGTTTACTACTAAGTATGTTTTTGTTTTTTGTTTGTTTGTCAAACTCATTTTTTATTTTCAAAAATAATTTATAATAAGCTTAATTTAACAAGCTTTAGCTTGAAGAGTTGTGTGGGAATTTTAAAGTTATATGTTTACTACTAAGTATGTTTTTGTTTTTTTGTTTGTTTGTCAAACTCTCAATATTTCATATTAAAGTATTATGAATTTGAGAGAAGATGTTAGATAATATTTAATGGGTCTTTTGTTATACTTGGGTTAAGAATAATTTAGTATATTTAATGGGTCTTTTGTTATACTTGGGTTAAGAGTAATTTAGTATATTTTTGTCTTATTATATATTCTTTTTTGTAACTCTTATCTTTTTAATATCTACATTATTGAAAAAACAATGAAGGGAAATAGTTATATAAATATAGTGAAAAACCAAGAAAAAAAATTCTTAAATCGATTATTATGAATGATCATGATCAATGATATAAATAATTAACTCTTGACGAAGTTAACACCTTTGATTCATAATCGGAAGAATGGTCACAAGCGTTAGAACAGACAATAATGTCTCTGTTCAGTTGACACGAATAAGGTGTCTTCAATCTAAGTGCTAGCTGATATAAATGAAGAATGTGTGTATTTGTGTGTTTGTGTGTGTATTTGTGTGTGTGTGTGTGTGTGTGTGTGTGTGTGTGTGAGAGAGAGAGAGAGAGAGACTAGGTTTTAAAACCAAATTTCATCAAGCAAGCAAAAAAAGTCACTTAAGTGCATAGTCTTTATGGTATTTTGTATTCCACTTAAGTGCACGGTATCTTATGGTATTATATATTCCACTTGAGTGTATTGTATCTTACGATGTTTTACAATTCACTTAAGTGCATCGTACCTTACGGTGTTATGTAATTCTCTTAAGTATATTGTACCTTATGGTGTTCCGTATTTCACTTATTCATTCTATATCTCATTAATGTGTCCTTATGTGTATGACCCTGTAGGTTCTCACGATGTTGATAATTATACTAAATTACATATTCAACATAATAAATAGCGAACAATCCAAGTCATGAATAGTGAGCTATCAAAGTCATGAAAATGTCATATGATCTGACAAAATATTTCATTGATAATGTTTGTGTGTATAATTACTCTTTTTCCCTCATTATATATTGAACACATAATATAGACCGAGTCACCTTTGTCTAGTTTAATATTAGACTCTTAGACATTTATTCTGTTATGCATATTGGACAAATTCCATTTAGATCACTCATGTTCTTCAACATGATTTGTGGAGTATTCATCAACTATCTTTATGGTCATCCAATCACAAATAATATCTGATTAGTAATAAAGTACCTGACTCCATATTTAGGATCCATAGTGGTTTCAGGTCAGAGGGTGGTATACACATTTATGACCATAGAATAACTTATGACACTTGCATAATATTTTATGTAGTATTCTCATAGTGGGTCAATCCAATATAAATATTACTCATAATATTCTTACCTATGTGAATACTTGATAATTCTTTATCTATGATCCATGATATGTGATCATCATATTATCCACATAATAGACTTGGTGCTTTAATGTTATCTTACTTCAGGATAAAGCATGATTACAAATACTTTAAGAATATTATCCTTATGTTTAATGGAATTTCAAGATAAGTCACACTTAATATTTTATTAAAAGAGCTAACTATTCTAGAGACTTTATTATTTTGACAAAACAAACATAACAAAGAAATGTCTTTTATTAGGTATATGGATTCACAATAATCTCCCTTCAAGTGTGAGTCATTCCTTATGCTCCTCCTCAAGCGAACACTCTTTCTTTCACGTACACTTGTATCACCGTTGACACCTATACTACGCCACAATATTACTACAAATAGTATCTATCACCTCGGTTGGGAAAAGTTTTCACCACAGATGTTGTCCATGGTAACAAAAGGTGTCATAGAAAGTGCGTCAGTTTTCACTACAATTGGTTTACTGGTCGAGGTGAAAAGTTGCTTGGTCATGAGTTCGAATCTCAACAAAAATATTTTGGAATTTTCAAAATGACGTGTTATATAAATTTTTTTCACGGTTGGAATACTAACTGAGGTAAAAAGTTTAACTTTCCACAACGGTTGTTCTTTTTAACCGTGGGGAAATGTATTGTATATTTTGTCACATTTATTGTGGCCTTTACATTTTGAGATGAACGAGATTTATTTTAAAGCATAAATATTTGTTTTTTATTAATATATGTATGTCATAAAAACATAACCATTTTTTCAACAAAGAAGAAATTACATCATGGAGAGAAGAATTGAAACTTAAAAAGAAAATGGTTAATGGTGAGAATTTGAAAATAAAATAATAAGTTGTATTGCATCAAAACAAATTTATATTCTAAATTGTGTTATTAGGGATGACAATGGTCATGGTTTGGACAGGGTACTATAATACCCATCTCGCTACCCACAGTTTGAAAAAAATCCACGTACATACGTGGGCACAAACATTTACACTCGTACACATATCCTATAAGTAACTAAGTACTCATATCCATATCCACTTACCCACATTTCTAACAAAACATTATATGTTAATTATAATTTATCATGTCATTTTAAATTTTTAACAACATTAAAAAAAATTACACACACACACATTATGAATATGGGGCAAGGTAGGTACTAAATTATCCTTATCCGTGTCTATATCTGCTTATTTTAGTAGGCAATTGTTTGTGTTTGTGTCTATATCCGTATCCATTTTACAGATTTTTATCCTACTCATTGTGGATAATTTTTATGGGTATCCATTAGAGATGGGTCAAACTACCATGCTTATGTGTAACACAACAAAATTTAATGTTTCATTTTAAAATCAAAGACAGTCTTACAATGAATCATTTTCTTTTTGGATTTCAATTCTTCTATATATGATGCAATTTCTTTTTTGCTAAACAAATAGTTATGCTTTTACAGTATAATTAAATTAATAAAAAAATTCTTACGCTTTAAAATAAATTTTATTATGTTAAGCTAAAAATTCAAGAACACTGCAAAGTGACAAATACAAAATTTGCATGAATCTAACATATTATCTTACTATTCCAATATTGAACAATTTTTCAAAAAACAACTCCCATGTACTTTGTGACGCAAGGTCATCCATTGATATTACTACCTTAGAAGGACTTTAGTCTTCTCCTTACATTAAATATGAAAATTTGAGTCATCTCAACAACAACAATAACACAAAAAGAGCAACGACAACAACAATAACAACATAAAACCTTTAATCTCATCTTAACAACAATAAAAATTTTTGGGTTAAATGCATTTTACCCTCTGCAATAGTAGCGAATTTTGATTTATCCCCTTTTAAAAAAAAAATCTTTTAGCCCCTCAACAAAACAAGATTCCCTCAAACTTGACCTTGGGTCAAGATTCCAGCAGAATATGCATACGTGGCGCTTGACGTGGTTTTTTTTGTTTTTTTAAATTC